TTAGTGTGAGTGTAAGCACTTTGGGTGTGTTGTCTCAAGAAGACGTTCCTGAATGTTTTCCCTTTTTGTGACTCCCATATTAAAAAAAGGTTGTTAAAATCATTGAACGAATTTTCGAGTTTTTATTCATAACTTTCTTCATCTCTTCGTGAAGTCAACTAAATTTTTGTACCTGTTAAAACATCCCAGACTGCTCCAGAAGGCGAGCAATTGGGGTTGTGAAATTTAATCTATTTTAATTGCAGCACCATGCCCTGATTTTCGCTACAGCAATATGTCGCCTTGCAGAATTCCACCAGTCAGGAATTAGCCGACTTCTGGATCTAAGTAAACCGACAAATTCAACTGCAGACCTCCAAATGACTGGACATTTCGTTCAAACGTATATATATACTGCTTCCAGAATATTATGTTCCTCGACGTATTCCAAAAGCAAGAAAAAAAAATAGGAGGAGACCTAATAAAAAGATGAGAACAGGACGCAGAAACTTGGCTTGGAACCAAAACAACAACTCGGGCAAACAGAATGGCAAGAGACATAGTGTTTTATGCCAGAAAGGTCCAAGAAGCAACTACTGGAAATGCCAAGAAAAAGGAGTATTATATTATACCTCCCTGTACACCAATTAAGAACAACGTGGTCGCCTGTAAAGACCGTTATAAAAGCGTGGACACCGAAAACATAAGCTATAATATAATTCTACTGCCAGCAAAGCAAGCACCAGTAATGTTATTCGGCAGTCAGTGTTTGCCTGCTGGAGCTACATTTTTATAGCATAAAGAGCATTTAATGTTTTCGGCCGTCGTAAAATAAAGCCTGAAGGAGATCTGGTAGCCGTCTGGTAAGCTGAAAGCGCGAGGTAAATATAAAATTGTCTTTAGCTTGGCACGTCATCGAAGCCTGTCAGAAGGTTTACTTTTACGTGCAGCACTGATAAGCGAAACACACGCACACAGACACATTCACGTGCATAAACACACACACACACACAAACAAACAAACACACACACACACACACACACACACACACAACACACCAACTCTATCCAGATCAACTGATTCACGAGGCCTAAAAAATCGAACCGTGAAGAGCCCTAATAGAGAAAAAAAGAGTTCGCACAGTCCTAATTCTTCTTTTGTTATTCTCCTTCAGTCACAAACCTACTATTCTATACATATTATATCGACTTATTATAGCTTATACAACTCCCATTCCCCCTATTGAAGTCTTTGGCCCGGACAAATAAATAGTGGACCCTTTACCCCCCTCCTCCCCCTTCACACACACACACACACACACACACACACACACACACACACACACACACACCTCGTTCGTCTCTCTTGGCGAACCCGAGGGATACATAAAGTAAAAAGACCCAACCACTGCGATGCAGACAAGCACCGTCAAGCATCAGTCCTACGGTCCCATTCCACGCGACAAAATACGAGTACCTACGACCCCAAAGCTAAGTGCATCTCCCTACACCCCGCCCTCTCCCCCATACCCCGCCCCCTCCCTTCAACTCGCCCCTCCCCCACATACCCCACTTTCTCCCTTCCTTTTTTCATCTCCCCAAAACATTTGGTAGGCCTACTTTCCTTGGTGGCGAACTGACAACAATCAGCTCAATACGGAAGGTGTTATCGACAGAGTCTGCACTGGCTCACCCACAGTAGACGGGTAGACAGACGAGTGCCACCCTGGTGCTGTTTAGCTAATAAATCAATTTGGATACCACGAGAAAGTAGACCGGAAAGCAGCCAGCCGCTCCGCATATGTGTGGTGTACAGAAAACCCACGGCACACAACAGGTAGCCAAACTTAATATTATCTGTTTAGTACTCAGCCCTCCAAAAAAGCGTTCGCCAATATTGACCCTTAAAAATTGTCATCACACTATCCTGTGTTATAAAATAGTAACAAAAATGATTCATCAAAGTCATTATCATTTAAAAAAAATGTATTTATATAGAGAGGGCACTTATGCCTTACAGAGTGCTCAATGACAATTATAACTCGGAAGGTGTACTTCA